TTGGTCGCTGAGCTTGTCAGGCCTGCCATGTAGCCCTTTTTTCGTTCACAAAGTATTTATGTGTTTGTCCTGTCTCGTGTGGAAGAAAACATCTATCTGTGTATGTTTTCAAAGGGGAGAACTTCGTGTGCATGTGTGTCCACTACAGATGCTTCACTAAAGATGGTTCCCAGACCCACAGTTTCTGGCTTGTATTATGCATTCTGTACTCTGGGTTCTTGCCTGGATTCTGGGTTCTAAGAAAGGTGAAGTTCCCAGGGATAGCCACCAGGTGGCGCAGCGCTTCTTCCCGCGGGTGTAGTGAAAAAATTGCCAGGTTTGAAGTGGGGAAGTTTTAAGAGATCGCGGAGGGTCAACTGCTTATGTGGAAGTGGTCAAGAGATAGACGACCTCAGTGAGGGGCAAGGGAGCTAGAGAGGAGATTCATAGCAGGAGGAGGAGATAAGGAAATGTGTCCGTGAAAGCTACTCACTGAGACCCGGGGAGGGGCTGGCCCAACGCCTACAGATAAGTCATCCATTCTTGCCACAGCCATTTGCTGAACACTTACCATGAGCCAGAAACAGGGCCATGTGTGAAATCCGTCCCCTCAAGGAGCACACTGTCTTGGTGAGGAGACTGCACCTGAACAAATGACTAATATACAACGTGAAAATAATGTCACATAATGCCACACTGTTTCTTTAATCCTTATGTCCCATTTGACAAATGAGGAAACAGATTCGAAAGATTTGCGAAGTTCCCAAATTCACAAAGTTAGGAAACAATGGCTTCAATCTCTGCCAGTCTATTTTCAAGTGCTCTACAAATCATTAGTGCTTTACGAATTATTGCTCCGCTAGTAAAATGAGACAAAACAAAACAACACTGCTCCTTTAAACACGACTCCAGATTAATCTCAGCAAGAGCTGACAACGGTGATGGGCTCCGACACCCCAGATGAGCCTCTCTCCCTCCTCCCTGCTGGCACCTCCCCATGTCCTGCTCACCCTTCACTCACTGACCACAGCCCCTGACTCACCCCAACATCATCTTCTGGTCACCACAACTGCCATTTTCACCAACCACGGCCTTTGTCGTCACTGATGACTTGGCTGTGGAGGTTGCTGGGTCACACAGCTCACTCTATTCCAGCTGCTTAGCTCACTGCAGCTGTTCTTTGTTTAACTGGGTCCCCTGATGGTCCAGCTTCTCTCTGCATCAGCCTCTCCTGCCCTAACTCCCTTTCTTCCTTCTGTAGCTTACTTCCCATGATATGGCATGTCAGCCACCCTGAGAAGACACCCTAACCTCCCCCTTGTCTCGCCCTTCCTCCATCGCACTGGCTTCCACTTCTACTTCTCTCCGAGCCGGAGAGAAGGAAAGGGGCTGCTGCTGTTACAGAAAATTCTGTAAGGAGGTGCAGGGGGTTCTTGACTGGAGGCTTTTGGGTTCTCGGGAAGCACGTTTTTTGCTGAGAGTGAAAGGAATGAAGGTGTAGGCTGTAAGGGCTGAAGACAGCGGAGAACACTCCAAACAGCTGCTTAAGAGAATGGAGGGAGAGCCATGGTAGGGTCCCTGGGCAGTGTGGGGGCCCCAGTTGAGGATGTGGACCCTGGATTTAAGGTGGGACCAGTCCTTATGGTTGTGGCTTTTCTCTGTTGAGGTGCAGAGATGAACACTGAATTTCTCCAGGGCTGAGGTTTGCCATATGGTTCCAACAGAAAGCAGTAGAAATATTGAGAACACTGTCTTGAATGATGGAACAGAACCCATTACCAGATTACCTGGCTTAAAAACCTGTTTATGTATTATTTACAAAACATAAGCTCCCTGAGGGCAAGGCCTTGTTCTCCACTTCGTAACCCCACCATGTTTTTGCTCACCTTTATTGAAATAAATTTCTAGGCTCAAGATGGAGCGTTTCTGCCCCGGGTGCCCCATTAGCAAACTGAAGCTTAGATATCTTTTGTGTCTCTGTAAATACTCCGTCTCTGTAAATACTCTGTAAATACTGAAGGATATCCAGTTAGCCAGTCCCCCAATGCCAAGCCAACGCTGGGCTCTGTGCCCATATCCCTGTTCCCCATTCTTCAGCCTATGAAAGCTTCGTATCTTCTGCCCTGTGGTACGCTTCTGTGTACCCTGGGGAGCAGAGACCGCCGCCTCATGTGGTGTGAAAGTTTGTATCACCTAAATTCTCTTCTTTAACCATTTTCACACTTTCTTGAGCAAGTGTGACAGATGATGAGGGTGAAGAGCCTCAAGACTCTGGGAAGACAGAGGGTGGGCTGAGGAGATGTTTGAATGCAGGGTTTCCAGATGGGTCAGCTCTGGAGGTAGCCTGCTCAGGACATGGGGCCTGAGGTGGAGTGGAGGTAGGGTGACCAGCCCATCGGTTTGCCCAGGACTTTCCTGACTTTATCGTTGAAAATCCCATGTCCTAGGGAACCCTCAGTCTTGGGTAAATTGGGCCGATTGGTCACTCTAAGTGGAGGACAAGAATGTCTCTGAGAAGCTGGAGCTTTGGTGGGTGGTCCATGGCAACTGAAGGACTGGTCACTCTCATGGGCCTGTCTCAGTGTTTTGCCACACAGTGTGTGTGACCTCTTGGGCACGTTTTCTTATCAGTTAAACAGAGCTTTTTCGTAGCCCTTAACTCTAGGAATAACAAATATGCTAAAAATGGCAAATACTTCCCACATTGGGAACAGCACAGTGTGGCTACATCAGCATTTTCAAGTCTGCAAATTAAGTGCATTGTACTCAGAGCCTTAAAAATAAACAAAAGTTGCTGGCTAATTCTTTCCTTTCTGTTGGAAATTTAACAGCTGACTTATTTCATTAGCCTCCATTTTCTTAGAAATCTAATAATGTCAATTTATAATATTAAATGATAAGAATATATATATATATATATATCAATTTTATTTAATGAGCATGGAAATCACATCAGGAATGAAATAGTATTTGGTTAAATGGACATATCCAGTTTTGAAAATAGGTTTCACATTCCACATGCATTTACACAGCACAAACCATAGCTTTATTACAATTCAAATTTTATAATAATTGGCTTGTTGTTACAGCAATCAAGTAAGCATCAATAAATTATTCTAGATTATTTTCAGGTTAATATTTGATGGTTAAATTTGATGGTTAAAAACGAAATACAGACTTTCTGGAAATATTATAGAAAAACATTTCAACCCAAAAAAGAAACTACTCTTTTATAATGAGTCAATGTATACAAGGCATATTGAAAGAAGTAACATCACAATTACACTCTCTATGTCAATGTAATGGATATGTACAATTATCATCAGTAAAAACATGGGGGTCAGAATATAGCTTTAGTCACAGAAACAAAAGAAGAATTCTCTCTCAGAATGTTTAGAGGAAGATGATTGGAAATAAAATATAGGTCTTTGCTATAAACATCCGTGGAGAATCATTAGGTACAGACTTGGACACCTACATACAATGAACAAGTTTATGTCAGAAATTTAAAGACACCTTCCCCTTCTATAATAAATATCCCACATAAAATCTATACAGCAAATGTGTTGAATTCTTATTAATTTGTATTCAACATTAAATTGAATACATTTAGAAAACTTTTAAAGAAGTCTCCTCTCTCTTCGGCAAATGCATACATTAATGTTTAACAAAAGAAAACTAATGTTGTCCGTTCTGCTAAATGTTGGCACATGGCTTAGTTCTTCATTTCATTAGGAACCAACAAGACAGAGAGCGTGAATGCCTTATTTAAACTAAGCCGTAAATTTCGTTTATATTAAACTTTTTACTCTGAGATAATTGCAGATTTTGAGATAATTGCAGATAATTGTAGTTTCATACGTAGTTGTAAGAAATAATACAAAGAGATCCTGTGTGATTTTTACCCAGTTTTCCCCAATGGCAATATCTTGCAAAACTATAGCACAAAAATCACACCCAGGATTTTGACATTGATACAGTCAAGATACAGCACACTTCCATCACCACAGGACCCAGGTGTTACCCTTTTAGAGTCACACTCACCTTTCTCCTTCTCCACCCTCCTCCTTGGCAAGCCCCTAATCTGTTCTCCATTTCTAGAACTTCGCATTTGAAAATGTTCCGTAGATGGGATTAGACAGTATGTAACCTTTGGGGATTGGCTTTTTCACGTGGCACAATTCTCTGGCGGTTCATCCAAGTTACTGCTTGTAGCAGAAATTATGTTTATTGCCAAGCAGTGTTCCATGGCATGGATGTATCACAACTTGTTTCACCAGCCACCCATTAAAGGACATCTGGTTGTTTACAGTTTTGGAATATGACGAATAAAGCTGAGATGAACATGTATGCACAAGCTTTTGTGTGAACACAAGATTTCATTTCTCTGGCTCAATGCCCAGGAGTGCAATTGCTGAGTGGTATGGCAGTTGCATGTTTAGCTTTATAAGAAACTGCCAAGTGGTTTTCCAGAGTGACTGTTCCCATTTTACATCCCCGCCAGCTACATAGGCCTGATCCAGTGGCTCTGTGCCCTTGCCAGTATTTGGTGGTGTTACTGTATTTTAGCAATATTGGTAGGCGCATAGTGGTATCTCACTGTGGTTTTAATTTGCGGTTCCCTGATGACAATGATGTTGAGTATCTTTTCATGTGCTTATTCACTATTTGTATATCCTCTTCCATGAAATGTTTGTTCATGTTCTCCATTTTCTAATTGGACTTAAAAAAAAATGAGTTTTGAGAGTTCTCCATATAGCCCAGATACTAGTCCTTTGTCAGACAGACATGTGGTTTGTGAAATTTTTCTCCCAGTAATCTTTTCACTCTCTCCACATGGTCCTTTGCAGAGCAAAAGTTTACAATTTTGATGAAGTCTAATTTATCAAACTTTCCTTTTATGGTGTGTGCTTTTGGTGTCGTCTTAGAACTTTGCTTAGCCCTAGGTCCTCAAATTTTCTAAAAAAAAGTTTTGTAGTTTTTACATTTCATGTTTAGGGTAATGATCTATTTTGAGTTAATTTTTGTATAAGGTATGAGGTTTAAGTTGATGTTCTTTTTATTTGCCCATGGCTATCCCATCGCTGCAGCACATTTATTGAAAAGGCTTATCCTCTTTCCATTGAATTACTTTTGTATGTTTAAAAAAAATCAATTGAGCATATTTGTATGGATCTATTTCTAGATTCTCTATAGTGTTCCATTGATCTATGTGCCTCTGACTCCACCAAAACCACATTGTCTTGATAACTGTAGCTACATAATAAATCTTTATATTTGGTAGGGTGCTTTCTCCTACTCATTCTTCTTTTACAAGATGGTTTTAGCTATTCCAAGGCCTGTGCCTTGAAACTTTAAGAAGTTTGAATACGAGGATGTCTACAAAAACCTTGTAGGGATTTTGATAGAAATTGCATTAAACCTATAGATGAATCTGGGGGAGAACTGATATCTTGACTGTTTTGTGTCTTCAAATCTATGAACATGGTATGTCTCTTCATTTATTTAGATCTTTTATTTCTTTCATTAGCATCTTTTAATTTTCAGCATATAGATCCTGTTCATGTTTTGCTAAATTTATACCTAAGTATTTATTTACTTTGGAGTGATTCTAAACTGTACTGTGTTTTTAATTTTGGTTTCCACTTTATTCATTGTTAATGTATAGAAATGTGATTAAATTTTGTGGGCTGATCTTGTAGCCTGACACCTTACTAAACTCACTTGCTAGTCCTAAGAGGTTTCTTTTTGTTTTTGTTGTTGTTGTTGTTGTTTTGTTTTAAATAGATTATTTGGAATTTTCTAGGTATTACTGCCTTAAATGGGGCCCAACAGTCTCAAACAGATGTGTTTTCAACACTCTTCTTAATCATCCAACCTGTTCAGATTTCATTTCCTGTAATTTGGATCAATAACTGATAACATGCGTCAGTGGTTATAAATGGCACCTACACTGCAAAGCCCCTGGAAGCAGCACAGTGACTTTTAATGGGGAACCTGATTATAAAAGCAAACCTAGCACAGGAACAGTATCCATAAGACAGGACCAAGGGGCAGTGATGCTCAGAGAATTAAGGTCTGAGGTTGACTTATGGAGTGTTTGGTGTGTTCATCCAGTTTTCCCTTCTTTTCTATAAAATGGGGGCAGCATAATTTTACACTCTGAAAATATAAAATATCCTCAGTAACCTTATTCTTATATGTTAAAAATTGCCATTGTTAGGAACTCTTGAGACTTGGCTTTTGATAAATAAAGAATTCTGTGCATCTTCCTACGCTTTTAGTAACAGGCACTTAAAAATGTTCAGACAACTCAAACCCTCTTCATGTCTTAATTTTTTAAACAAAAGTGTAACCATAGTAACACTTTTATTTATTTTAAAAATGTATATCTCCTATATATAGCCATGTGTTTTTATGTTACACAACATATCTAGTACATCAAAGAGTGTTTATATCCATTACAGAAAGAACAGAAAACCAGGGACTGCTAGATCTTTTGTTGATGTTAATATACAAGTTCTTAGATTTGTTCACATAGGTCCACGTAGGCTTTGGATGTGTACACAGGTATACAACATAGTTTCTTGCCAACACCAGGAGCTCCTGCATATAATTCATAGAGAATTTTAAATCTGTAGTGAGAATCAAATTTCAGAGACTATATTTTTTCTTTTTTAAGAAAGTCGTGTCAAATCATCTACACACAGGTTAGTTAGTCATCACTTTACTGATTTTCTTGGTTCATTGACTATCTGTGCACTTCAGTAACTCTTTTGTTACATTTACATTGGAAATCTTTTATGAAATCAATGAACTCTGTTCATTGTGTGCAGTGAGGTCTGGAGTCAGACCTTGGAATGCTCACTTGGCCTCTCCGAGCCTCAGTTTTCTTGTCTGTCAGTGGCAATGATAAAACGCTTCTCATTGGTTGTAAGGCTTACATGAGATGACCCCGTCAAGGACCTGGACCCAGGCAGGGCAGGGAGCGTGACTTCCGCTACTGACCTCCTTCCTTCCTTCTCTTACATGTTGCCTTTGCTTCCTTCCCAGGTTCACCCTGTCCCTCTCCTCTCTGTACAGCACAGAATGAGGTGTTTCTTATTTTGGATTCCACTCCTCATGCCTGAGAAAAAGGAACCTTCTGTCAGAAGCGGTAGCTGTGGGGATGGTGGGGAGCTTCCTGCCAAAACTGCCCCTCCCCATTAATGCATCTCCATGTCCTGCTTACATAGAACAGGCCTGTGTGCGAAACTCGGTGTGTCCTCACGTGGTTCATCATACCAGAGGGAAAAAAGCTTCGCAAGTGACCGATACATTCCAGCAAATGTGACTTCATAATGCATTTGCAATCCAGTAGCACGATGAGTAATCCGCAGACAAATGGTCCTACACCGTCACCCTAAAGATGAGATTGTGGCTGCGGGAGGTGTATTTAGTTCCTTTGTGGTTGCAGTGAGCTTAGGACCAAGACATCCTTTTGGATACAGCAAGCAACAAAAATACTCTCACAATACAAAGCAAAGACATTGTACATACAGGCCTTTTTTTTTTTGTCTTAAAGAATGGAACAGAAACTGTCTCAACATAACACTTTGACATCAACAGTGATTCTCAAATAGGTGAGTCTGGACTGAATACACTGTGAACAAAGATGATACACATGAAGTACCTTTGTGAACTGCGGCTTTGCAAATGACCACGTTCACCTGGCCACCCTCTCCCATTCTGCTGTGAGGATGACAGGGCTGCTAGGAATCTTCCACAAAGAGACAGCAATCAGTAGCTGTCTGGCAGCATCGCTTAAAAGGTTTTCATTTTCTGCAAACACCGAGGACTTTCTTCTCCCTAGGTCAGGCCTTTCTTGGAACTGCTTTGAAATATTCCTCCCTCGAAATGTCCGCTACTCCTCCATACCATTTCTGAAGCCAGATGTGTTCTATCCTCATCTTCATAAAGAACCACTCATACTGACGAGGCCACTTCCTCATAACCGGGTGTCTGTGGAAATAAAGAAGAGGGTGTGATGTTCTTACCAGAGGGTTTGCCCTCCCAGGGCACAGGTCCTGACTCTAGTGTCCCTGGCCAGGTCACATGGCCCTCCAGACTCCAGGACTCATTTGGGCTGCTACCTGCTTAAATCACCCAGGAGCAGAAGCCAAGAAGCCAGGGATGGGGTCTAGGACCTCCCTAGGAAGGCAGGAAACTGGTTCCCACAGGGCGGCAGACAGCTCAAGTCCAGAGCCAGGCCCCTAGCTTCGAAGCCCAGTCTGACTGCTGATGAGTGTGATGGATGCCTCATGGTCGGTTTGTCCTCTCAAGCCCAGGTCTCCTCACCTGTCTCATGGGATGATGAGAATGGTGCTCAGCCCACAGGGCTGCACAGGAACAAACAATTAGGCGCACAGAAAGCACCTGCATAGAGGAAGTGCTCAGTGAACACCAGCTATTGTATCAGGAAGCAGAAAGAAAGGCTTTATGTATTCGGTATGAAATGTTGAAAGGATTGGGAGCCCACGAAACAAATCTGTACATGGGAAGATTTCCATTCACTCAGCCGGCTTGGAACTGTTGCACCACATTGAGAGCCAACGAGAGTGGGTAGGGGGCGCCATTCACATCTGGTCTTCTGCTGTTTACTGACTTGCCTTCTCCCCCACGCTTAGGCCTAAACACAAATCTTATCTCTATGGGCAGGGGCTGTGGCTCACTTTTTAAAAACTTCATAAAAATTTTATTTATATCTATAAATGTTATAATCAAATTTCGAAGTCCAAGTGCAAACTGGGAGAAACACCTACGGCAGTCGGAGTGAGGCAGGCAGTGCTGCCACCAAAGGCAACTCAGACCGTTATCATCATTCACTGAGAGGCGTCAGATGCCACGGCCCTGACCTCTGCTTTTTGGTGTAGTAGATTTCTGGGCACACCGACTTGACAGCACACACAAACCTTGAGAACATGGCTTGTTTGGCAAATTCCACTTCTTCCGGAGACACTGCCGTCATCTGGCCAGTGAGTGTTAATCGGGCACAGCGGGGATCTTCCGGGTCCACGATATTCTTTCTGCATTCAAAGAACATTTTTTCATATATTAAAACGAGAATAGAACGTCAGCCAGAAATGCTGAGGATTTTATAAAAAAATTGAAAACAAAAAATAAAAACAGAGATTCTAACTTTTCACAGCTGTCCATTGTTTCTGGACCTAAACGGACCCAGCAGCAGACTCTTTGGAGCAGATTTTTTTGGTTCCCAAAAGAATCGGTAGGTAGCACGGAGCTTCTCACTGTGTATAGGTAAAAGGTGTCTCGTCCACTGCCCCGGGACTGAGGGTGGCTAGACAAAGGCCCCCCATGCCCCTGGGAAAGCTGCAGTGGTCAGGTGTTGGCCACTGTGCACTGGGACAGAGGGCCTCCTGGGGGGAGCTCAGGGGTGGAGGCCGTGACCAAGGGTAGGTACTATGACTGTCCCCTCTTTACAGATGAAGAAATTATGCCTTAGATCAGTGGTTCTCAACCTTCCTAATGCTGTGATACAGTTCCTCATGTTGTGGTGACCCCCAACCATAAAATTATTTTCGTTGCTACTCTATCACTGTAATTTTGCTACTTTTATGAATCGTAATGTAAATATCTTTTTGTTTACCGATGGTCTTAGGCGACCCCTGTGAAAGGGTCGTTCGACCCCCATGAAAAGGTCGTTTGACCCCCAAAAGGGTCGCGACCCACAGGTTGAGAACCACTGCCTTAGGTGGTTTACGTGACTTGCCCAACATCACACCATGCAGTTAATGGCAGGGTGGATCCGATCCTGTCCCAGCTTGGGGAGGCTCCACAGGCTATGTGTGTGCTGATCTGCCAGCTCCTCAACCCATCTGAGATTTCCTCATCTCATCCATAAAAAAAACAACAACCCCCCCAAACAAAAACAAAAACAAACAGCCTTCAGGGGACTTTCAGTCCCGTGATCTCTCATCCTCAGGCAAGCACACCCTTGGTTTTGGCACACCCCTCCAACTACGGGGCATGATTTTCAGTGTTAGTTTTCAGTGTTAAGACAGTAGTTCCCCCTTATCCGCGGTTCTGCTTTCTGCTGTTTCGGTTACCCACAGTCAGCCATGGTCCAAAAATATTAAATCCCAGAAATAAATAATTCATGAGTTTTAAATTGCAAGCCGTTCTGAATAGTGCGATGAAATCTCACGCTGTCCCACTCTGTCCCGCCAGAGACGTGAATCATCCCTTTGTCCAGCGTGTCCACTCTGTAGATGCTCCCCACCTGTTAGTCACTAGCCATCTGGGTCATTAGATTGGTTACCAGAGAGAGGGAGGGAGGGAGAGGGAGAGAGAGATGGAGAGAGAGGGAGAGAGATCACATTCACACAACCTTTATTATAGTATATTGTTATACTTATTCTTTTTTATTATTAGTTATTGTTAATCTCTTACTGTGCCTAATTTATAAATTAAACTTTATCATAGGTATGCATGTATAGGAAAAAACTTAGTATATCTAGGGTTCAGTACTATCCATGGTTTCAGGCATCCACTGGGGGTCTTGGAATGTATCCCCCTCAGATAAGGGGGAACTACTGTGTTTAAAGGATTATTTTTCAATAAATGCAACAGGCGTATGTTACAGAGAATGGAAAGCACATATTCATTAAGTAAAAGTGAGGGTAGCCTTGGGGGCCTCCTGACGCAGCCAAGTGGGCTCTGACAGTTCCTCTTTTCACAGATGTTATACGAGGTCTGACAATTAAGTTTGTGAACTTGTTGCAACGATCTTGCTTACTTTTTTATATCAGAGGGATTATTCACTATGAATCTGTACCAACTGGACAAACAGTTAACCAAGTTTTTTTTTTTATATCAGAGGGATTATTCATTATGAATTTGTACCAACTGGACAAACAGTTAACCAAGTTTACTATTTGGAAGTGCTGAAAAGGCAGCATGAAAAAGTTAGATGACCTGAACTTTTTGCCAACAATTCATGGCTCTTGCAATCACGACAATGCACCAGCTCACACGGCAAGGTCTGTGAGGGTTTTTAGCCAGTAAACAAATAACTGTATTGGAACACTCCCTACTCACCTGATCTGGCCCCCAATGACTTCTTTACCCGAAGATAAAGGAAATATTGAAAGAAAGACATTTTGATGACATTCAGGACATCAAGGGTAATACAACAGCTCTAATGGCCATTCCAGAAAAAAAAAGAGATCCAAAATTGCTTTGAAGAGTGAACTATGCTCTGGCATCGGTGCATAGCTTCCCAAGGGGAGTACTTCGAAGGTGACTGTAGTGATATTCAGCAATGAGGCATGTAGCACTTTTTCTAGGAGGAGTTTGCAAACTTAATTGTCCGACCTCGTATATCATAAAATGGCTTCCTCGACGCATGACTCATTTAAACTCATTCTCAACACTTATGTTGTGTTAAAATCTCAAGAAGCATACATTTGTTAAGCAAAGCACATGTTTTCCTTATACTTAAGGAACTTGCTTTCACCTGCCTAGAAGTTTTCCTTTATTACACATCCTGCTGAGTTGTAACAAGAGAAATAGCACACATGTCCACATTTTTAGTTAAATTGCTTCAGGTGAAAACATTATGTCCCCTTTGAAAGTGTTGCAATTTGCTATGTTTTTGACACTGTAAAAACATAGTGGTTAAATTGAGAAATTTCCTTGTGGGTTAAGATGAAAGAATAAAAGAAAGCAATCCACATGGTAACTATAAAAATTGAATCTACATTGAATTTTGTGAAAAACCTGAGATAGGAGAAAATAAATGAAAATAGTAAACAGGAACTAAATTTACATATACTGGACCAGACTGTCATGAGTTGTACTCAGTTTATTTGTGCACTGCAGAAGCTCATTTCTTCACCGAATTGCTCTGTGATCAAAGCAATGAGATTAGCACTGGTAAGGAAGTCATTATAGAAAAATACATCACACTTAAATAGGGAGCATTCTGCTTCTTCACAGGTGGTGGTTACATAGACTAGAAAGGAGAGTCTATATTTAAATAGGTAAGTAGAAAACTCTCCATTTACACAGTGGGCAACCCAGCTAAACTTGGTATAACTTCCTTCCGACTTGTGGTAGGCAGGATTAGCGCCACCACCACCACCACGACCCCCCACCTCCAAGATGTCTGCTTCCTGAACTCTGGAACATGTGACTGTGTTACCTTACATGACACAGGAATTAAGGTTGACAATTAGCTGATTTTGGATACGGAAATTATCCTGTATTGTCTGGATGGGCCCAATGCAGTCACAAGGGTCCTTAAAAGAGGAAGAGGGAGGCAAAAGAGTGGTGGAGCCATGCGAGCTGAGAGACTCGACTCGCCATAGCTGGCTGTGAATATGGAAGGGGCAGGAACTAAGGAATGCAGGCAGCCTCTAGAGCAGCGGTTCTCAACCTGTGGGTCGCAACCCCTTTGGGGGTCAAACGACCCTTTCACGGGGGTCGCCTAAGACCATCAGAAAACAAAAAGATATTTACATTACGATTCATAACAGTAGCAACATTACAGTTATAGAGTAGCAACGAAAATAATTTTATGGTTGTGGGTCACCACAACATGAGGAACTGTATTAAGGGGTCACGGCATTAGGAAGGTTGAGAACCGCTGCTCTAGAGGCTGGAAAAGGCAAGAAAATGGATTCCACCCTAGAAAGGAATGCAGTCCTGCCTACATGCAGTTTTAGCTTAATGAGACCTGTTTTGGATTTCTGACCTCCAGAACTGTAACATCATTTGTGTTGTTTTAAGCCACTAAGTTGTGGTCATGTGTTACAGCAGCACTAAGAGACTAATATACCATATGAAGGAAGCTGGACTTGAATCCCACCATTAGTCATGTGAGTGCAACACACCTGAGGTCACTGAAATGGTCAGTAAATGCAACAGTGACCAGGAAGGAGGATTCTGTGTACAATGAGGACCGTGATCAATGGCCTCCAACTTATGAGAGCCTATTTGGGTGGACAGGGGCTGCAGAGGACATTCCCTCTTCTCTTGGCGACACATTTTGAATATTATTTAGCATCCACTTCTCCCTTACACAGCTTCAGGGAACCCTAGTCCAGCCCCAGATCCTTACCTAAACCATCCAGCATATTCCATTGTTTGGCCACACTGATGGATTCAGGGATTGGCACAGGAGCAAGGATGGTCATTAAGGCTCAAGAAGCTGAGGACTTCTGGAATAGCAGCCCCCTTATTCTCCTTTGGCAGCTACCTAGAGAGATGCCTGCTCTTGCTGGACATAAACAGGGGGCATGTGTATCTGGAAGTTGCTGGCACCATATTGGATGACAAGCAGTGCTGTTGTTAAGATGAAGCCAACACTGGAGAAGGCAGTGTGGAGAGATGGGCAAACCTCATTTTGGCTGACATTGCAGAGCCCCTGAGAAAAGCCTATACCTGGACTTTCAAATATGTGAACTAGTAAGTTTCTTTAATTCTCTAAGCACATCTGACCTTATTCTTCTATTTATTTTATTTGTTTGTTTATTTATTTATTTATTTATTTATTTATTTATTTATTTATTTATTTATTAGCTGAGCCATCCTGCCACCTGTTGGCAGTTCAGCAGCAGCTCAGCTCGGGCTGGACTCGAACCGCTGTTGCTCAGAGCTCAAACCTTTGAGCGAGCTCTTAACCAACTGAGCCACTCAGCCAGCCAGCCCTCTTCTATTTCTTGCAATGGAGAGGTTCTGTACTAAATGAAAGACTTCAAGTTTCTGGAACTCTGTCTCCGTTCTTCGAATGGATCATAAGACTGAGGCATGCCCACCTCATGTTGAATGGTATTAATAGCAATCCACAAACTATTCTCAGTACAGGCTGCAAAGTCATGATGGAACTGTGTAAATTCAGGACACAGTTGCTATGTGCATGCATCTACATAGCACAGTACAATGCAAATCAAGGATAGCCTGTATTTTTTAAATATTCACAAATTTATACATTTCCATGAAATAAGACTATAGGCACTACCTACTGGGAGAAGTTCTCCATGGGTCTCTCATGTTTCTAACCATG